GTACACGCGCTCGCGGCCCGTCCCTCTCCCCCCCCCCCCCCCCCCTCGTCTCTTCTGCTCCTCTTCTCCCTCTCCCATGTTAGAAACTTCAGGCGCTATTTTCCGCAAAGCCCCCTCCCCTCCCCAATATGATACAATATACTCTAGAAAATATATGGATCGGTGAGTGTCTGCACACGTCCGCCGGGGCGCGTCTGTTCGCGCCACCAGGCAGACAGGAGGGGCATGTGTTTGTGTTTGTGCGAGAGAGAGAGAGGGAGGGAGAGTGAGCCTGTGCATATACGCTCGAGTGTATGCATACACATCCGCGTCACCGATGGATATCCATGTCGGCATCTGTATGCATCAAGGGGGGGGGGGATGGTTGAGGGGATTCCGATCGCACCCGGCGGGGAGAGAGAGGGAGAGAGAGAGAGAAGGGGGGGGGGGGGCGGCCCTGGTGCCAGGCTGGCCAACAGCAGCCCACACTCATGCTCGGCCCTCTACATGGAGCAGCGATGTGCCTGCTCACGAGCAAAGTCAATGTCGAAGGGAACCAAAACACTGATGCTCGGGCCTCCAATCGTGTCCCCGGGCCGGGGGGATTTCTTGCCGAGGAGCTCGGCCAAGCGGATATCCGCCTCGGAGGCCGGAGCCTGGGGCATGGTCTCGACAAAGTGCCACCAGAAAGCCGGCGTGTAGATGGCATCGCCCGGAGCCACACGGGCCACAAAGCGCTGGACCTCCTCCAGGCGCCGGTACTCGGCCCGAGCTGGCGGGTCAGCTGCCAGCCAGCGATCCAACGGGGCCTGCCTGTGGGGATTGATGCGAGGGGGGGGGGGGGGGGGGGGGGAGGGGGGGGGGGGGAATGTGGACATGCAGGGAGGAAGGTGGACGGGGGGTGAGACAGGCGAAGGCAGATGCCGAGAGAAAAAAAGAGAAGAGGACGGGGCGACAATCGGCCGGAGAGGTGCCCAACACAGTATTTCCACGCACGAGGAGTGTCGATTCGGGTCCAGCGGGCTGGCAGGGTAGAGGTTCTGATAGTCATCCGGATTGAAGACACTCCAGTGCTTGTCGCCGACGATCTGGAGAGGCGAAGTGAGCGGGCGTGTCAGTGGCGGGCTTCCGGCAATCCGGGACCAGGGGCCAGTCCCCCCCCCCGCCCCCCGCTTACACACGAGAGCGGGAAGGTGGGAATGGAGGGAGGCGGGAGGGAGGAGGCCGTCAGCCAGGGGAGGGACACGTACCTGAATGAGGAACCCATGGCAGAGGTCAAAATGCAACGGAGTGATGTTGCCCCCGCAGCTGATCCAGATGCCGCAGTTCTCCATCTTGATGGCTTTGGCCAGCGGGAGCAGCCAGGAAGGCAGGACGGAAAAGTGACCGTCAGCATGTGCCAGCCAAGTGGGGCATGGCCAGGGACAAGAGGAGAGGGGATTGGTGGAAGGGGGAGAGAGGGGACGGGAAAAAAAAAGGCAGAGCAACAGCGCACGCGTATCAATCACTTCCTGCGGCAGGTCCAGGTCCCGGGCGAAAGCCTCCTCCAGCGGCAGGCGAGCGTAAATCCGGGGGAGGGCCTCGCGCACCCGGGCGGCTTCCGGGGTTTCGCCCGGCGTGCCGAAGATCCGATCCACCACCTTGCCATAGGGCCAGGTTTCCTGGACGCAGAGGGCCTTCTTGAAGAAGAGCCGGTTGTCCTTGGATACCAGGACTTCCACCGGCGTGTCCTCCGGCAGAAGAGCTCGAAGGTAAACCGGGTCGCGCCACTGGCCACGAGGAGGAGTCACGGTTGGCCGGGGCAGAGCGGCACACGGGCACACCGGAGGGAGGTCCCCAAGTCAGCGAAAGGCGCGAAAGAAGAAGAGGCAGGATGAGTGGCCGAAAGCAAGAGCAGCCAGCTGGCGAGCTGGCGAATTGGCGCCCCGACGGGCATGGGAGTCGATGGGCCGGCGCACCCTTTCGACGGCCACTGAGGCATCTACGAGTCCCGACCAGATGAAGGGCCTCCGATGGCGGTATGCCTGCTCGAAGAGTGCTCGGTCCAGGGCCGGGCCATCGGCCGGGCTCCGGGGGTGGCGAATGGTTGCCATGCCCTTCAACGCGAGGCACTGGGGATTGGGGACCGAAAAGCCGTGGTCTGCGAGGGCCAGGGTCAGCAAAAGGCCGGGCAGGGGACCAGGAGGCGGAAGTGCCGCATGAAGAGACACCCGCAGGGAGAGCGGCCCATGTTGACGCACCGATGACCGGCAGGCCGGGGACCTCGATGCCGGGCGGGGCAGGCAGCCGGTCGGCATCGTCCACCAGGGGGGCCTTGTCCGTGGCCTTCGAGGAACCGGCGCCGACGGAGGAGAAAATAAAGTCGAGAATGTCTTCAGACTCCATGTGTTGCCAGGCGATCACAAATGGATGGAGGGGGAGAGGGGCTGGGGGAGACGGCGAGGCGCCGCAGAAAGCCGAGAAGAGGGAGGGAGGAGGGGAGGGAGCGAGGACATTGCTGGCCATCTCTCCGCGGGCCGGGAGCCGTTTTGGGCATGGTACATGAAAAATACAACCTCCTCGAGGGGGGGCCCCGGGGGACACGCCCACTGAGTGAACACACGCCCTGTCTGGTAAAAAAATGCCTCAAGGCAGAGAGATGGAGAGAGAGACGGAGAGACGGAGAGAGCGAGAGAGAGAGAGGGAGAGAAAGAGCGCAATGACACGCGGGTGTGTGACGCCCGGTCCGCGGCAACGATCGGGGCGGAAAATACGCAGGCAGCGGGCGCGGGGCGCAAGCGAGGAAGGGGGAAGGAGCGGGGGGGGAGGAGAGAGAGATCGCCCTGATCGAACGCCATGATGACAAAGAGAGCCTTTGCGATGGGAGATCACGTCCCGGAGGCATGAGTCATTGGGCCCGTGATCATCCATTAGCAGTTATTAACTGAGGCGGAAATGGTCCAGTGCGTGGGGGTCTAAGACGGAGCAAATGCAGAGATAGCTGGTGGTGGAAAAACGGCAATCGAGATCTCTAGGCGGGGGTGTATTTTTCATCGGCATCGATCGCACACAAACGAATGCTCGCCCTTTCCTCAAGTGTGTGTGCGCGTGTGTGCGTGCGTGTGTGCGGGGTTCTCTCTCTCTGCTGGGGGATAATAACCCATTGGAAGAGGCTGTGTGGGGAGGCCCCCTCTTGCTGTTGGCTGGGACACGGGTGAAAAGGTCGTGGTGTGCGAAGGGGGGGCCGGAGATCTAGGGGGGGGGAGGAAGGGGGGTTGCATGGGTGGTGGCGGCGACGGGGCGCACGCTCAGTCCCAGGAGGAGGGAGATCGTCTCTCTCTCTCTCTCTCTCTCGGGGGGGACAGAGGCAGGCACATGCTCGAAAGGTGAAAGGGGAGGGGGGGGGGCGGGAGGGGAACAAGGACGGATATGCATCACCCGGAGGGGACGGCAGGCGGGTCTGGAGTGGATGCCCAGGCACACGACGATGGGGGGGGGGGGGGGGGGGGAGGTGGCAGGAGCAGTCCACCCCCAGGCGCACACGGGGAAGAAGAAGAAGAAAGAAGGGGCCGGGTGGAGGGGGGCTTTTTTTGCTGCTACTGACGCGACTTCGAGGCACCCCCGGCCATGGTGGTAGACAGGGAGGCGGGCAGCCGGTGAGAGGGGGGCTCGGCGCCAGGGCCAGAAGAGGCAGTGGCGGCCGGGCCGGGCCCGGGGCCGGAGGCTGTCAGTGGCTCGGGCGTGGCAAGCGATCGCCGATTGAAGCGGATCCCGCCGGCCGAGGGGATGGGGCCGCTGGTGCTGAGGGCAGGGGGCAGGGCCACGGGTACACCGGCTGTTTGGGCGGACACCGGCCGAGTGGTCGGCCGGGCAGTCGCGGAGGCCGGTGGCATGGGCGGTGGCGGAGGCTGGTCTCGGTCACCCGTGGCTGGGGGAAGGGGCGGCGAGCCTGGATGCTGGGGGGGGTTGGTGGCCTGGGGGCCGGTGCTGCCGGGAGGGGGGTGAGGCCGGCGCTCGCCCGGGAAGTAGAGTGGCCGAATCCGGGCAAGAATGTCCTCGCGCATGCGTGCCGGGGTGGCGGCCGCCCCCACGTTGAAGCTGATGCTGGGCGACACGCAGGGGAGGATCTGCTCAATGGCCAAGTAGTGGGTCTCTGCACGGTGCCAGGGAGATGCGTTGTCAGAAGGGGGCCAAAGGCGGGTCGGAGGACGGGGCGGAGGAGGCGATAAAAAAGCGCGCGTGCGCGCGAGAAAGGGAGGGGCAGAGAGAGAGGGAGGCAGAGGGAGGCAGAGGGAGGCAGAGGGAGGCAGAGAGAGAGGGAGGCGGAGAGAGAGGGAGGCGGAGAGAGGCAGAGAGAGAGAGAGAGAGAGGCAGAGAGAGACAAGGAGGATGCGCCAACGTACCGGAGCCCGTGATGTTGTCAAAGGCAGCCATGTCGAAGCGGGGAACCAGGGAAGTGACAATTTGGATGCACGCAAGTAGAACATAGACAGGGTGGAACTTCAACACAATCGGGGTGGTATAGCTGCGTATGCCAGGGATGGGGGGGGAGGAGGGACCGTGAGAAGGGTGCAGGACAGAGAGAGGCAGGGAGAGGGACGGGGAAAGGGGGCCGCGGCTCCCTCTGCTTCTCGGCGTCCGGGAGAACAGCGCGGGAAGGACCAAGCAGGCAGGTGCACGTCAGGCGGCTGGGGCTTGGGCGCACGTCTTCATCAGCAGGCGCTGGGTCGAGCGGTAGACGTAGTCGTAAACCCGCATGTCGTTGCCGGGAGAAATGGCCTGCAGGTGGTCCTTCAAGTGAGAAAGGAGGAACGAAAGGTCATGGTACGGGGTGTAGACGTCAAAGTTGAAGGCCAGCACATCGGACAGGAGGATGGTCTCGCAGCGGACGATTCCCTTGAAGATGTCCTGCAGCATGGCGCGGATCTTGCGCACGGCCGGCGGATCGGCGGGGGTGCTGGTGCCGGCGCCGGCGCCGGTGCCGCTGGCGCCACTGCCGCTGCCGCTGCCGCTGCCACTGGCCGAATGGCCATTGATGGTCGCTCCCATGCCCCCGGCCCCCCCCGGGGGGGACCTCGTTCCGCCAGTGAGGTCGGCCGTGCTGGAGGAGGCGGACACCGGGCGCGAGGGACGCTGGAGCCGACTGGCCGGGGGGGAGGGGCCCGGGCCGCCGGGCCGAGGGGCGCGACCAGCCGGGTCCCCGCCCGCCGGGCCAGCTGAGGAGGATGCCCGGCTGGAGGGTGGGGGGGGATCGATTTTCAAGATTTCACGGCAATAACAATCGATGATGTGATTGGACCGACGGCTGGGCTCGTCGGCCGCCTTGGCCGCGACAAAGAGACACGCCAGGGCGATGTGCTCCGGGGCTGACTCCTTCAGGGAGAAGGAGGCCAAAAACCGGTGGAAGAATGTGAGGGCGGTTGTGACGGTTTGAATGTTGCTGTGTGTGTGTGTGTACGGGGGGGATCCGAAGGGGGATGGTCAGGTGGGGCATGGGGATCGTCATGTGTGGGCGAGGGGGGAGGAGGGGCGGGAGGGGAAAGAAGAGACACGCACTAGCCGAGCTTGTCGGCGACCGTGTAGATATGCTGACAGGAGGAGTCCCGAAGCACGTCGATCCGCTCCTTGGGAAGGGACGCGAGCGAGGGGCATTGGGCCAGCTGCTCCTCGGTGAAGGTCCAAAAGGGCGTCCGGGTGTGGTAGGGATATTTGCGAAGGGGGAGCTGCTCGCTGTCGTGGGCGTACACAAGCAGCTCCATCACGGCCTTTTGGAAGAGGCCGAATGGCCCGGCGGGCATATCATCCGGCCGAGGCTGGGACCCAGGGCCGGGGCTGGGCGAGCGACTGGGCGAACGGGAGCGCGACCCGGAAAAGGACCAGGCTGACAGGACACTCCGGGCTCGGTGAGGGGCCTCCTGGTGTGGGGAGGTACTACGACTACGACTGCGGCCGAGGCGGCCGAGGCGACTCCGACTGCGACTGCGACTGCGACTGCGACCGCGACTGCGACTCCGACTCCGACTGTGAGTGCGGCTACGACCGCGGCTGAAGCTACGACTGCGACTCCGACTGCGGCTGCGACTCCGACTGCGGCTGCGGCTGCGACTGGCAGGGCGGATCCAAGGGAGGTCGCGGCCGGGCGAGATGGTGGGGGAGCGAGAGCGTGATCGTGACCGCGAAAAGGACCGCGATCGCGACCGGGAAGGGGACCGCGATCGCGACCGGGAAGGGGAACGGGACCGCGAGCGCGAGACGTCACGGCCACCGGCCCCCCCGCCAGAGGCCCAGCTGAGGGAGAAAAGCCCGCCTCCGGAGGCCGCCGATGGCCGGGCCGGACTCGGGGAGCGGGGATACTGGCGGCCGGGACGCCGGCCAGCGGCATTCCGAACCGGCGACCGGGCATACCGCGACCGAGAGCGCGACCGGGAGCGCGACCGGGACCAGGACCGAGATCGGGACCGGGACCGAGATCGGGACCGGGGAGTTCGCGAATGTGGACGCGAGTGCTCCGGCGACCGCGACATCGACCGGTCATAGCGGCTAAGGCGCCGGCTGCTCTCCCCGTAGCGAGACAGCGACTCGGACCGAGGCGAGGCAGAGCCCCGATGGCGGACGTATGACATCCTGCACCGGGAGGCGACTCAGGGGGATGCACGGCTAGCAGGAAGCAGCAGCACGGGGGGGG